AGAGTATGATATAATTAATTAAATAAAATCAATAAGATAAAAACAACGCTATGATATATTATTTTAAAGCAGGATGATATTCATTTATAAATTATTACATTAAAAACTTTTATAAGATTATTAGATACAGCTTGTTGCACTCATTTACAAGTAATAACAAAAAAAATAAACAGCAATCCAATACGTTCGTAATAAGTTTAAAAAAAAGCATTTATCTTGACATCTATCTTCAAAATCACTTTCGTTTCCTTACATTTATTTTTTCTTAAAACTTTTTCCTCCGTTTAATAAATTAGTCGATTTTGTCGTTTGAAACCGTTGAGAAGTTCCCATAATAGCCGTTGGTTTACGCACGGTTGGTGCTTTATTTTCTTTTATGGCTGGAGAAAATTTTGCGAATTTTCTCGGTGGCATCGGACTTTCTGTAAAAAATAAACAAAAAAAAGAAAAACTCAATTTTTTTAGTACTTGTATATAATTTTTTAATCTTTCATGTGTAAAACATGATAGGAACATATACCATGAAATAATTCACAAACAACCGCATTTAATGGAGTATTTAATATCCCACCTTTTGATATTAATTCTTTAGCACGTGAAGTCAAAACTGGTTGAGATTTTGAACCAATGGCAAATGTACTATCAAGGGATGATGATGAACATATTTCTTCAACTTTCCTTTTTCGTGTATCATCGATTATAACGGTTGAATCAATTTCTGGTTCAGGTTCAAATGTAACCGAATGGATTCCTTGCCAATCATTTTTCAATGTGTTATAAGCTGATTTTACCGATTCCGGAAGTTGATTTTGCGCTTGGAGATATCTATAACAAATTTTTAACAAATTTGACATTTTCTTTTCCGTTTCAGCGCGTGAATTTAATTCCGTTGTTAATCTTTCGCATTTCTTTTGATGTAATTCAGCCTGAAGCAAAAAATAATTAATTTAGCAAAAATTGAATTCAATTTATTTTTGTTACCTTATAAACTGCTTCGATTTCGCCTAATTTAATTTTTTCTACATCAGCAAGTTCTTTTAAATCGGGTACAGTTCTTAATAACTCCTCTAAATTTTCATAAACTTTTTTCTTTTTTTCTTTAGTGTGGTAAATTTCATCTTTTAAACTGCTAACTTGCTTTTTTATTCTGTCCACGGCATCTCCTATTCTTTTACGTCCTTTTATTTTATCTGTTGAATCACATAAATCACTTAATCTTGCATCTTTATCTTCTTTTAATTGTTTTCTTAAACCTAAACCTTGCTCTACCATTTCTAATTGATGAATCCGTTCCAACAGCTTTTTTAACTCATCAACAATATCCATTAACTTTTCTTTATCCACATCTAAAATTGAAGTTAAAGATATTGTCGGTACTGTTGTGGCTGTTAATGAAGATGAAGTTGATGGTAAAGTTATAGTTTCATTGATTGTATTTTTATCGTTCTCATATTCCTCCAGTTTAGCTTTAAGTCGTTCAACTTCCGCTTTTAAATTATCAATCATAATAACATATTGCTCGCAATTAATGTCTTTGGCAACAACATTTTGACGAACGTTTGATTTAATTTTCATAGCACGTGTTGCGTATTTTAACGTGTTATAAGTGTCTTCATATGTTAAACTACTCGGGGAAACGTTCGCAATCATTACTGTGTGGCAATTTCCTCCAAGACTATCTTTCAAAAGACGGGTTAACTTTGAATCACGATAAGGTACATGTCCTTTTCCTGCTGCTAAACTGTTAATGCAATTTCCAAGTGCAAGGAGTGATTTGTTTATATTTGAACCTTCTTTAAAACGGACTCCAACGCAACCAGTAGCTGCACCTCTTTCACTACCTAAAATAAAATATATTGATCAAAAACGATTACGTAAAGTTGTATTGTGATCGTCTCCATGATTTTTTTTTGCAAAATTTTTGTGATTTGTCACGTGAGTGAGATTGTTTTCAAAGGTTCGTTCTTGTTTGAACTTGACAA